CTGATGACCCCAGGTGCCCCAGATCTAAATATTTCTAAAGCATGACTAAACATTTGTGAAAGCTGACTTAATGGTGATAGATAAATCCATTCACCTCCATACTTTAACCTGGGAAGGATAGTAATTTGTTGGTTAACATGAGCAATGGTTTGTAGCTAAGCTACATTTTGTGGTAAAATGGGGAATGGTTGAGTATCTTTGTTTCTTTTGTTGCAGAATCTGTTCCCAGCTATACCACCAAAGTATCTTTTAGCCTTCAGCTTTGATACCATCCACTAGAAGACTGCAGAATCTCCCTGTACTGCCAAGCTATAAATCTTGGTGTCTTGGAATAATGGTTTGCGCTTAAGGACAAAGTCTAGAAACCACAGTCCTAGTTAGTTAGGAAAAATGATTTTCAGATTTCACATTTGTGAATACTTCTCCAGTGGACTGGAGAATTGATAAGTGGGTTTATATATGAAGGTTCATTTACATAAACTTTTCCCCAAATAACGCACGTTTAATATTTTAGAAAATGTGTTATTTTTTAAAATTAAAACCTAGAGACCAAAATCTGAAGTTGATTGCACTGTTTTTAGGAATCCAGGGATAAAGGGGTTGTAAAAAGAGCATTTATATGGGACTAGCCAAATGAGATTTTATTTTATTTTGAAAGAGTTTTAATGAATTATTTATTTTGCTGAGAAAAGCTTCCCTTGGGTTAATACAAACTGCTATTTTATATGTTTTAATTGTATTTTCTAAGTGTAGGGTCTTAGGAAAGACTTTAGGTATAATTTGGGCATTGAAGGTAGAAAGAAGGGCTGGATTGTCTGCTCATGTATTGGGCACAGGACACTCAGATGGTGTGCTGGTGGTCCTCACAGAGGCATTGTGGTCCTGGCTGGTCCTGGGAAGACTTACATGATCTACATAGATGGTCCTGAGTGGGTACTTCATGGGTCTCAGGACTCACCTTAGAACAGGGAGCAGAGGCAGTACCCTCAGGGACCCCTCCTCCAAGGTGGCTGTGCAAGGTAGCAGGGATGACTAGTCTGTACCAGTGAGGACGCCCTAGCAAAGCTTCCTGACAGATGCCACAGGAGAACTCTCCCAGGCCATCATGCTGCAGCCCACAGGGAGCTCATGAGACTGTTTTTTGTTGGCAAAGATGGGAGTCATGATAGGGTTTTGGACTCCTATGTCATATCATCTGATTTGGAGAGAAATTGTACAAATATTTATTTTTATACCACTGTTTTAGGCTAGAGGAAACAGGATTGTAAGTTGAAGATAAGTTTTAACAAACAGCTTCTGTGATTAAGAAAGAAAAAGTGCATATATTCACGTTTATTCCTATATGAATTGACTCCTACATGGTCTAATTCAGTGCCATCCAGTAGAATTTTCTGCAGTGATGGAAATGTTCTGTATCTGCGCTGTCCAAATGTAGTGACCACCAGACACACATGCTTTTTGACTACTTGAATAATGACTGATATAACTGAAGAACTTTTAATTAATTAAGGATTTTTAATTAAATTTAAATTTGGATTGCCACAGGGGGGTGCCATATTGGACACATAAGTCCAGACAGTTGGGTTTTTGGGGAAGAAACGAAGGGTGATTTTTTTTTTATCTGAACAACAATCTGTCCCCAAAGGGGTCACTATTGACACCCTCCATATTTTGTCTTGGTAGATTTAATCATAATTCCTAGTGTTTTATCCTCAACAGATGCAAACCAAGCAGAGCACTCTAAAACCATATGGTAATGCTTCAGCAGAGGATTGCCTCAAGTTAAAAACAAACTCTGAGAAGTAGGTTAAGAGATGAAAAGAGTAGGAAAATGAGAAATCACTGCAACTGAACCTCAAACAATAGTATTCTTCTTTTAAGTCTTCAAAATTGGCGTTGAAATTTATTAGTTGTATTACTTAAATGATTTTGAAATTTCATTTCATGCCAAGGTATACATTATGTTTAGCCAAATGGAAAATGAATCTTAAAAAGGGGCAAATAGGGGCTTTCACATAAGTTGTCCATGACCTATGTAAAATTTATTTCAATAAAACCAGTCTTTTGTGCAAAAACCCTGTATTGGTGCTACATTTCCTTCCTAAACAAAGGAAAAAGTATTGCACCGATACATAATTATTTCATGTCACATAATATCCCATACCCAATATATTATTTGAATATAATGTGTGTAGAGATACTATTTAATTTGTTCATGTATGTGTAAAAATGCAGCAAGATTATAAGGCATCCTAGTGGCAATATCATAGAGTTTTGAAAATTTTACATGATACATAGGGACTGATTCATAATTTGGAAAAGGAATTTCCGTAGTGGGATATATGTATGAGCGTTAAAGCAATATGAATAAAAGGATAAAATGTAATTCCTAGGAGAAAAAGGTTCTGGTCCCCAAAGCTTATTATTACACCCGTTTTTCAGATGTCAGACATTGAGGGGCAGAGACATTTAGGTGAAATCATTGAGTAGTGCATTTTAATCACCAGCAAGAACCACACCACATTTCTTGACTGGAGGTTTCTAGAATGACCAAGAAGTGCGCTTGCCAAACACCAGTTTAGAGTAACTTAATGATGATGGCTAACAGTAAGCTGCAGAAATCAGTTACTGTCTTTCCTTCTTTGCCTCCCTCCCTTCCTGCCTCAATGCATCTCTTGAATCTCTCACTACTCCTGAGTGGGAAGGAAACATACTCTGAGGTGCTGTGTTGTGGCGGGTGTAGGTTTACATAATGCTCATTTCCCGAGTCCTGATTCATAGGGACAACACGTTGCCTAGCCTTTCCCACCCTCCTTGTCGGTAGCAGTATGTGTTATCAGAGTAACTTTTGATCATGTAATAACACTTCTTGGAATTTTAAAGAACTTTCCAATTCTTTCCTAAAATTAAAGTTCTTGGCGCTAGTCTTCAGTGAGTTCACAGATCGTTCAACACCTGCTTCCCTTCATGTCCTAATGATCTAAAGTTTGTTCTCTAGTTTGTTTTCCTTATTGATATACTCCAAATCATTCCACACATCCCAGCCTATCTTTGAATACTATAGAGTCTTTCTGGGGATATCTGCAGATGTTTTGCATCTTCCTGTATTTGCCATGTCTTTATTGTGTAAATGTGCATACATGCACGCACATTCCAGTCTGTTCTTGAAGCTGATCAGCCCTAGGACCCCGGCAGCCGGGATAGCAAGGCCAGCTCTTTTACTAACGCACCACATAATCTTGGGAAAATCACTTCGCCTTTTACCCACCTGTAAAATATAGAGTAGCAGAAGACGATTGTTAAGGCTGATTCCATCTTTAACATTTTATCACTTGCCTTCCACTAAGAACCCCTTTTTATATTAATGACTCAGCATTTCCTCCCTACCTCACTGGTCACTCAGCTTCCAGCTCCGTATGGGCGCTGGGCATGCTTGTTCCTTAGGCATGTGTTTGTAACTATCTTGTCTACTATTACATGTTAAGCTTCTGGAGTTTGCTAAATAGGTAGACTGTGCCCAAATATTTGAAAATGAATAGTGAGTCTGTGAAGAACTGACCCACACATTTCTGTTGTGTTCCCAATACTTCCATCTATGCTGAGATGCACAAATATTATTTTTGATATTGCCTCGAAAGAGTTATCATGCATCATAGAAGATTGCATTTTCTATAAATCTAAATCGAAGATACAGTGAGATATCACCTCACATCCTTAGGTGTAGCTATTATTAAAAACCAAAACCAAAACAAAAAAAAAAATAAATCCCAGAAAATAATTGGTGAGGATATGGAGAAATTGGAACCCTTGTCCCTGTTGGTGGGAATGTAAGATGATGCAATTGCTATGGAAAATAGCATGGCAGTTCCTCCGAAAATTTAAAGTAGAATCAACAATTCCACGTCTGAGTATTCTGAAAGCAGGGTCTCAAAGAGCTTTTGACACCCATGTTCCTAGCACTGCTAGTCACAATGGCCAAGAGCTGGAAGCCTCCCAGATGTCTACAGGTGGGTAGACAAAATATGATATATAAATATCATGGAATGTTATTCAGCCTTCAAAAGGAAGGAAATCCCGTCACATGCTAAAACATGAATGAAACTTGAGGACATTATGCTAAGTGATATAAACTAGTGACAAGAAGACAAATATTGTATGAGTCCACCTCTATGAGGTCCTCAGGGTAGTCCTATTCATAGAGAAAGAAGAGTGGGCATTAGTAGGGACAAGGGGGAGGGAGAAAATGTGAGTTGTTTAATGAGGATAAATTTTCAATTCTGAAAATGAAAAAGTCAGTGAAAAGTCAGTGAGATGACTTTCCAGATGGTGTATGTTTATTTAATTACACATTGTGTCACAATACCATTCTACTAGTACAATAACGCTTGTTATAAACCATGCAACAAGGAATAGTAAAGTCCAAAGAAACGAACCAGAGTTTGAAGGCTGTCTCCCCCATGTGGGAACTGCCCAGCCCTGAACTGCGTGGACCCTGCTTCGGAGAACACTGTTTTGAGACCCAGGCTTTTAGCCCAGTGAAAACACTGCAAGTGCCTCCACCTGCTGACCTCCCCGGGTCTGTGCAAGCTTCTCTGGGGAGAGAGGATCCACAGGTCTCATGAGATTTCCAAATGGTTCTATGAGCCATAAAGGCTTCGGTCTCAGTTCTCCAGAGAATGAGCAGAATTTCAGCATCCCTTAGGCAAGATAGAATTGAATTGAAATTAACATTAACCCTTAAAAAAAATCACATGAAATCAACCATTTAAAATGAACAATTCAGTGGTGTTTACTGCATTCACTGTGTTGTACAACGACCCCCTCTGTCTCGTGCCAAACATTTTCATCACCACATACCTTCTGTCCCCCAAAAGCCCCATACAGATTAATCCCTTTCCCCACAGCCCCTGGCAGTCACCACGCTACTTCCTGTCTCTGGATTTACCTCTTCTGGGTATTTCCTATCCCTGGGATCATACTACATGACTTTGACCTTGGCATCATGTGGAGGTCCACTGAATGGTCTCTACGATAATCACCACGACAATAATCAGAATGAAAAAACAGCAGCAAACATTCAAGTTCTTGCACCTGGGATTCGGGGCTGTGTGGGGATAGAGCACCTCGTTACGGGTACTGACGTGGATTCTCGTCTCCACATGGTGTTGCGTGTTTGCTCTCGGGCTCCAGTGGGTGGGGAAGATTGCAGCCTCCCTGGACTCAGGATGCCAGGGTTGGGGTAAAGCCTTTCCTTTGTTTGCCATGGCGTTCCACTTCTCTATGTCCACTGTGGAGTTCCCCCTCACTGGGTCCGCGGTGATGATGTCCCTCTTCACTGTGTCCGAGGTGATGTTCCCCCTCACTGCGTTGGCGGTGATGTTCCTCCTCACTGCGTCTGCGGTTATGTTCCCCCTCACTGCGTCCGCGGTGATGATGTCCCTCTTCACTGCGTTGGCGGTGATGCTCCTCCTCACTGCGTCCACGGTGATGCTCTCCCTCACTGCGTCCGTGGTGATGATGTCCCTCTTCACTGCGTCCACGGTGATGATGTCCCTCTTCACTACGTCCGAGGTGATGTTCCCCCTCACTGCGTCCGTGGTGATGTTCCTTCTCACTCTGTCCCCGGTGATGCTCCCCTTCACTGCGTCCGCGGTGATGTTCCCCCTCACTCTGTCCGCGGTGATGTTCCCCCTCACTCTGTCCGCAGTGATGTTCCCCCTCACTGCGTCCACGGTGATGCTCTCCCTCACTGCGTCCGCGGTGATGATGTCCCTCTTCACTGCGTCCACGGTGATGATGTCCCTCTTCACTACGTCCGAGGTGATGTTCCCCCTCACTGCGTCCGCGGTGATGTTCCCTCTCACTCTGTCCCCGGTGATGCTCCCCTTCACTGCGTCCACGGTGATGTTCCCCCTCACTCTGTCCGCGGTGATGTTCCCCCTCACTGCGTCCGCGGTGATGTTCCCCTTCACTGTGTCCACTGTGGTGCCACTTCTACTGGGAAAGGGCATGGGAATGGTGATCCCAAGAGCAGGTGAGCTTATGGCAGGAAGTGATGGGGACACTGGTGACTGCACGGCCTCACTGAAGCCACTCTGGGCACAGAAGCCCTGCAGACATGCCTCGCAGTTGTTACTGTCATGCGGCCCTTCAAGAGCGATTTCCCTGACGGTAGGGATCTCCTCCATCGACTTAAATCCTTCTCTGTAGCATTTCTTCAGAATTCGGAATACCAGGTTGTTCAGGATCCTGGAGATGTTCTCTTTTGTGAACTCGGGAACCTCAAATGGAGACTGATGGCACTTCTGACATCTCTGGGCAAAGACCCTCATCTTCACGTTGCCCCTGGGTTTCCCCCCAATCTTGCGCATGTGGAAAACAACCTGAACTTGAGAAGAGGCCCAACTGCGAGAGCACCAGGAGCACTGGAACCTGTAGGGACAGGAGACAAGACCCTCAGCTTGGCCCAGGATGGCCGAGCTGTGGGCTGGGCCAGAGGGAGGAAGGGGCGCCCAACAACAGAGACATGACTCGACTGGGGTTGAGGTTGGTGGGGAAGATGTTAGCAAGCCCCTCGTTCCTATATCCACTGTGCCACCAACATGCCCTGGGATCCACAGGTGTCTGTCATGAAAATAGCAGACCACAAGCTCTTGGTGCTGGAAGGGACCTTCTAAATCCGACATGATGGGGCTAGAGATGAGGTGCATGCTGGAACCCATCATGTGCAGAGACTTGGTGGGTGTAAGAAGCAGGACCAGACCTCTGGGCTCCTGAACCCAAACCAAGGCTTCTTCAAATGTGGACTGAAGTGGGTCAGAGGCTATGAGTGCAACAGTAGCTATTAAACCAGCCCCCAAGAGCTCTGAACTGAAATCCACAGATGGCACAAGTGGGTGCTGGTAGGTGCTACTATCTGAAAGTTGGTGTCTCCCCGCAAATTCACAGGTCAGAACGCGAAGCCCCAAAGGTGATGATGTTAGAAGGCCTTTGGGAGGTGATTAGGTCATGAGGGTGGAGCCCATGTGGATGTGATTAGTGCCCATATCACACAGACCCCATAGAGCTCCCTAGCTCCTGCCACCATGTGAGGATACAGGAGAAGTCCGTCCATAAACCGGAAGAGGGCTCTCACCAGACCAGATGGCACCCTGATTGGACTTCCAGCCTCTAGAACTGTGAGCAATACATTTCTGTTGTGTCTGTTGTGTTTAGTCTGGTGTTTATCTTATTTTAATTTACTTTATGTTTTATTACCCGCCCCCCCGCCCCAAACAGACTAAGACAGTAAGTCGTAGACCCACAGATCAAGGAGGGTCTACTGTCGGGAGGAAAAGCATTGCTTTGCCCTGTTGCCCAGGGCCCCCCAATCCGTCAGTATGACAGGGAGATCACAGTGTCCAGCTCTCTCTCTTCTTGCTCCCCCTCCCACCCAGTTCATTGCTCAAGGTAACCTGGAAAACCTCATATTCTGTGTGCACCTGGCCTCACACCTTCCCTTCTCTGCAGAGAAGAGGGTGATTTCCTGAGCTCAGATATTTGGACAAATACAGGATAGATGGAGAGAGGGGAAGAAGGCACGCAAGGACATGGCTGCACCGAGGACAGGAATCATGGGAGAGGCAGAAATTGCAGAATGGCAGGGACAATTCCTGCTCACTAAATTATCCATGCACTCCTGCCCGCTTCCCAACCCCCTCACAGTTAGGCTGGGCAGTGTGACTGGTTGCCCAATGGGATGTGGGCCATGACATGTGTTACTTCCAAATCTGGTACGGAAGCTCTTGGAAAACCCTCCTGCTCCTCTTCCTCTGCCTCAACGACCTGGGGACAGTGTGTTAGGTCAAAAACACTGATATTTCAAGGTTCATCTATTCTAGCAGCCAAGCCTCACCTATCGTGGGAGAGTGAATTGGAGGGAGCTGGGAAGAATGAGCGAGCCAGTCAAGATTTCCTTCTTGTGTCTTGATTCTGGCCACACCTCACAGGGTGAGCATGGCCATGAAATGAAAGGAAGAGGACAAGAGGCTCTGACCACCACGAGAGAGATGACGTTATTGGGGTTATTCGGAGTTGGTTGTGCACAGCGGGGCTCTGCTCTCCTGAGCTGCTGTCCCCAACCCTCCCTCTCTGGGTCGTATTGCTCTGTTCATGTGCCAGCTCAGAGTTCAAGGTTGTCCAAAAAAAGCAGGGTGGGGGGTGGGGATGGGGCTGAGATTTTGCTTGGATGTTCCTGGTGCCAGCTCCTGGCCTGGGAAAGCCGTGGGCCACAAGGAGAGGAGAGCTCTGCTTCCTCTGCCCAGACCCTCCCCCAGAGAGGAGGGCAATGGGCAGACACCAAGTCTCAGGCCCCTACCCTCTTTGCAGGGGCAGCCCTACCCCCTGACCCTTGGAACTCTGCTTCCTCACCTGGGGAAAACAGGGTAAGGCTTTGAATGAGTTCCAAACATCTTGGATTATTTTTTTGTTTGTTTGTTTTAGGATTTTATTTATTCATTTCAGAGAGAGAGAGAGTGCACAAGCCAAGGGAGAGGGAGAAGCAGGTTCCCACTGAGCAGGGAGCCCGATGCATGGCTGGATCCCAGGACCCTGGGATCAGGACCTGAGGCGAAGGCAGACGCCTAACTAATGGCTGAGCCACCCAGGCGCCCCCAAGAGTCTTGGTTTAAAAGGATCCATTAGCCCAGAGAAGAGGGGGCAAGGTTTCTGCATATTGCTCAGCTACGCTAACCTCTGCCCTCTCCTGGAAGGGCCTCCTCAGCCCGAGGGGCCTCTCCCTCCTGGGGTCCATAGACAGCCCCAGGTCCTCAGGAGACAGGGCGCATAGGTAGGAACTTTGCCCACCCAGCTGTCCTGCAGCTCCTCCCTCCACCCCGATGCAGCCAACACGGGTGCCCAGTCCTGCTACTGTTTGGGATTCGCTGAAATAAAGCTAAAACTTCTGGATGATGGGCACCGTACTTCCTGTAGTCTTCAATGTGCAAGCACGGGACAGAACAAGAAAAGGAACAAGGATACACGGTAATGAAAAAATAAGAATTTTCTGGAATACGTACCATCCCATTCTCCACTCACCTGGCAAAGGCCCACTGCTGGTACTGTGACCATCCCGGCTCCAGGCTGTTGGGAAGAAGGTCTTTGTCTTCTGTCAGGGTCCATTTGTGCCATGGCTTCACTTCCTGGATTAATTCCTGGAACACTTGCTTCCATAGCTCCATGTCCTGATTCATGGTATGCTGTGTGGACAGCTGCGTACCTCAGGATCTCTGGGAGGCTCTGACAGGTCTGCAGCAGGACACGAGGTTTCCTACTTTACAGAACAAGGGCTGGGACCCGCCTTTGTGTACATGACCTGGGCCAGTGGACCAGGTCTTTGCCTTGAAGACAAAGGTCAGTTGAATCTGGCTTCCAGTTCAGTGGACTAGCGAGCGCTAGCCTCCTCCACGGGGAATTTCCAAAGACACGGAATGCATGGTTTCATCCAATAAAATATGACCAAGGGAAATCTCCGGACTCTGGATTGGATCAGCAGATAACTTGCCTGTAACCCGGAATACATTCTTTACCTCAGAAGCCTCTGGAAATGATGGAGAGATGCAACTGCCCCTCAGAACAATGTATTACTTAAACTATAACCCCTGGAGGATTTTACTAGTTACCAAGCACATTTAGATACGGCCTTAAGAAAAACACATACTGGCAACAGGTATTTGGGGGAAAGGACGATATATGACCATGAAGCTGGGCAGCTGGGGATGCCCAGCTTGCTCAGGGCGGAACGCCGCCCGCTTCTTGGAAGCCGAGCAGCTGGGAACGCCCGGGCCTGCTCAGGGCAGAACGGAACACCGCCTGCTTCCCCTTTCCATTGTAGCTCCTTCCTCCTCCCAAAAGCGCCTGTTGTTAGTTAGATGAGTCCTTTGAATGGGCTTGGTTAACTATAAACTTACCCTCCTTCCTGTTTGTCCACAAGACATGTGACTGATGTTTGATCTTCATCGGCTCTTCTGTGGGTTATTGTTTTCTATCTAATAAAAGTGAGACTGAGGAGTTGCTCGGGGCAGTGGTCTTGTCGACTGTTGTCCGCTGCTCTCTTTCTCTTGTAGCTGACTTGTTTGTGCCTAATTCTTCCGTTCACCAACTGGAAGCGGCAGAGAGGGGTTGCAGGAGCTCTGTTTTAACGCTTGGAAGTCCTTATCCACTGGGCTGCTGTGCCCAAGACTGGGGAGGAGAGATGCAAAGAAGGGCATGGCCACGGTGGGCCCTCACTGCTCCCCAAGTCCCTGTTCTGGGCTCTCTGCTTCCTGTTTCTGCTGGTCTCTGTACAACTGGATCTCACAGCTCCCAAGCTGTCCCGGCTTCAACCCAAAGGCCATTCTCCTCCCAACAGGGTTAGGGACACTTGCTATCGCTCTTTCTGAACACTGGCTGGGCCCTGGCTCTGCCGCTGGGAGGGGGCCGCGTCGGAAAACTTGGGACAGGCGCAGATGAGCTTGGACAAGACAGCACTCGGCCTTCTCGTGTCAGTTCCTGTGCTGAAAACAAGTGTCCTCTTCATGGTCTATTTGTGCCACGTTTGTCAGATTTTCGTGGTTTTTGTTGGTGATCTCTTTGTTTCAAGTGGTCCCAAAGCCTAGTGTTCGGTCTAGCGTGCCTAATGGTGAAGAGGCTGGGATGTACCTTCTGGAGAGAGCGTGCGCTCGATAAGCTTCATTCAGGCGCGAGTTCTAGTGTTGCTGCCTGCAAGTTCATACACGAACATTACTTACTACATAAGGTGTCTTTAAACAGAAACAATGCAAGGTCATGGATTGCTCAGCTGCCCAAAATGTTGTTACTAGAGGCTGGCAGGAACTAAGTCTGCATTTCCCTGGGGAGTCATGGTTCAGTATTTGTTATTTTAGTGTTCTTGGCAACTTTATGGGATTTACTTCCAAATAAATAAATAAATAAATAAATAAATAAATAAATAAATGAGAGGGGGCTGCAGTTTTCTTTGTCTACTCAGTGGTTTGTCTTTCCTCCCCATCCTTACATGGGGAGAGCTGGCTTGGTGAAACTAAACCACTTTCGAGCCCTGCCCTCACCCATTATCCAGTTTTTGCCCAGAAAGTTGCTAATGACTAGTGCCGTTAGCTCTAGTATAAGACCCTGCCAAATCTGCAGGCCATCTGCTAGCCCTGTCTTGTCTGTGGCCCAGAGATCGGAGTGTCATTCTTTTCCCAGCCAGGCTTCTGCACTGCTGGTTAGAACTGATCGAATGCACCGGGAACTGTAAATCCAGCCATTTCAGACTGTAATTTCTTTTTTCTCTGATGTATCCAGTTGCCTGGACCCTGGGGAGTGGTGGATAGATTCCAGGAAAGCAAGTCCACTCCATCTTCAGCTCAGTGCTTTCCGAGTCCTGTGTCAAAAGCGGTCTGGCCCCTTCTGGAAGTCCCTTATCATCCCTTTCCCCTGAGGTGCGCCTGGGTCTCTCCCAGCAGCAAGACCTGGTCTAGAGAATGAAGCTGATCTAGAGAACAGGGCTCAGTCCTGTGATGCTCCATCGTGTAGAGATTGGGAAGAGGAGGGTGATCCAAGAAATGAGATTTCAAGTTTCTGCAGTTTCTGCATCAGTCCCACAGGAAATCATCTGTGTGACATCACAAGGTGCTGACACACCCCATATTAGTCTCAGTTTTTGTGTTCCAGACACTAGGGTTACGGTGGCAAATAAAACAAAGGCTACCCTTACAGAGCTTGTGTTTTATTCAGATGGGGAGAAAGACAATGACCCAGTAAACAAGCAAATGTTCAATGTCCTGTCAGGTAGCCATGAGCGCTATGGAGGAAAACAGCATGGTGAGGGTCTGGAAGGAGGAATGGCATGGGCACATGGGCAGGGTGGCAGTAGGGACAGCTGCTCTAAGTGGGCAGTTATAGAAGGCTGCCCTGTGAGATGACATGTGAACCAAGACCCGTCTAAAGTGAAGGACTGGGCCAAGCATATACGTGGGGGGAGGAACAGTCAGATCAGAGGGGACAACCTGTGTGAAAGCACAGAGGTGGAAGTGGGCCTGGTGTGTCCGTGGAGGAGGGAAACCAGGGTGGCCAGAATTTAGTGAGCAGAAAAGGAGTACATGAGGTTGGAGATGTAGCTGAGGGCTGCAGGGCCTTGTAGGATTTTATTCCAAGTGTGATGGGAAACCAGTGAAGAGATTGGGTACGAGAGTGAGAAGGTCTGATTTCACATTGTGATCTCGGCTGTCTGACCTGTCCACTCAAGCTCTCTGTTGTCTCGGCATTGAGGTAGGGAAGGAATGGCTGTGCTTAGTGGGTCAAGGACAATGCAGGGAAATCACCTAGAGTCTTAGCTTTAAGAGCATTTAGGTCAAAATAAGACTCTTCTCTTTCAAATTTGACTACATTTGAACCTCTGAGATCTTATTCCCCAAGGAAATTGCTAAGTCAAGTTTAATTAAAATGATTTCCACTATTTTTCTTTGATTTTGCACTGTCCTTGTGGGGACTGCAAGAGCAAAAACCAAACCAGACCAGACCAAAATTCCATAAACCAATTTAGTTCCTCCAGAGACTGATAAAACCCTCATCAGTCTCCTCGTCACCAATTCCTAAGGACAGCCTATACCACCCTTGGGACTTGGGCAAATTCTCTTTGAACCACTGGTTTTATTATTCAACAGAGAATTCTTTACTTCAACCCAACAGATGACTTGCCCTCTATATGATACGTTTCCATTACTGGCTATCTGTTCACTGACGAACTTCATACTGGAGTTCACGTTCATTGCCTGGCCCAGGGCTTATGTAATGAACACTCCAGAATCAGCGTGAGACCCTGTGACTTTAGAAGCCTGGGCCGGGCCCCAGGAGTCTCTTCCGGGGCGCAGCACGTGGGGCAGCTCAGGTGGAGGCCCCTGACTTCTGGATGGGAAGGTGTACAAGCTGGCACGGTGCCCAGAGGTGCTTGAGACCACAAGGATGGAGACCCCCCAGGGTGGGCAGTGATCCTCACTGCTCAGATTCTGTCCTCTCGTGCTGCATCTTTGAGTCCCAAATTTGTTTTTAAAAACAAATTTGTTGCTAATGATGAAAAAAGGGTTAAATATAGTTATTTAAAAATATATATATACATTGTTAGTAAACCGTCTTACAGCGGTGCCCTGCCGCACCTCCCCCCAGGCACCCACAAAGGGGTGTTATAGGAAGGCTGGTGTACAGAGGGCGCCCTAAGTGGAGTACTGAGCCGCAAGGTATCCGGGTAGCTGGCTTCTGACCTCGGCGATCCCAAGTGGGGTTGCCCCATGATACAGTTTCACTTGGATTTGCACATCAGTTAAATTCCAATTTCAGTAACAACGAATAATAAATATAATTAGTGAATTTTGCACTACAATTAGTATCTTATACTAGGAGTCGATTCATGCTCATCTGAAACTCGAATTTAAATCGGGGTTCCTGGTGCTGGCTTTGGGCTGCTAAATGTGACTGCTTTCGTGGGGGGCGGAAGGTGCGGTTTGCGCCCCTTGCTGTCACTCGGGAGAGAGCTCCGCCAGCCCCTGGAGGTGGGCGGGACGCCACAAGTCTTGAGAGAACGGGAGCCTGCTAGGGGCGGGCCGGAAGTGTGTTTGGGCGCGGCTGGGCGGGGCCGGAAGTGCGCTAGGGTGCGGACTGGGCGGGGCCGAGGGGCAGAGAGGCGGAAGTGGTACCTGCTCGGGAGTGTTGCTCGGCTGCCAGGCCAAGGCCCCTCACTTCCGACCAAGTTAGACGAGTAAGAGTGGCAGGACCCTTCCATTGATTTGAAGTACACGCTGTTAAGATTAGATCCAGAAGCTATGTAAAGGAACAAAACCCTCCCGCGTAATAGTTCAAGTTATTCAAGTTTGGGCTTGTGTCCTCCTCCCCCCCTCCCCAGTATATACTTCGAGATTCCTGGCAAAGGGAAAAAGAGAAGGCAGCGACTTAAATACTTAATACCTCCTTGATAGTAATCCCAGTCTCACCCCAAAAGGAGCATCTCCAGTTCCAGTAAATCGTCTTGAAGTAGAACAAACAAAAATAAAAATTTTTTCACAGTTTTTAAAAATGAAAATGAGAACTATTAAGGCTAAATAAAGGGGATTTAACCATGTTCTTGGCTGATTGGGAAAGGAATAAAACACTGCAGAGAGAGTGAAAGGTATTTTACAGTGTTTGGTTAGGTAGGGAACCAGCGAAGTGGGAGATGAGCCAACAGGTCACCACCACACTCCCCAGTCCACTGTTACTGGTCCCGGAAAGTCAGTCCACTTTAATCTCGGATATATTTCGTTC